GGATTATTAACTCAAATGTCCAAATGAACTAATATCAATGGTAAAACAGCTAGCCAAAAGAAAAGGTGTTTTCCTCAGTAGAATTACACGCTTATATGTAATATACTAAACACAGAAATATAAAAAACAAGCAGTCGTCTGAAAAGTATGAGATTAAAAAATACGAACTTGGTAGGTCATTCAGAAATCCAATTATTTGAAAAAATTCAATCTGCTTATTCATTGCGTTTATTCATTTATGAACAAAAAAGGACGAATATATGTTGGAAACATGAAATAGTCACCCACTGAAACACATACATACCATCAAAAGATAAACAACACATTTTACTAACAATTAAACGAAATCTTATTGAATGAAGTGAACACTTAACAACTGTTTTGATTTCTAGACTGAAATAAGTCCGACTAATAATTTCTAGCAATACTGATAGTTATTCACTGTCCACGACAATCCAGCTTTTTGAATGAGTATGAAAGTTTTCTCTTTCCATATTCTAATACATTCCACTAATTTTAGTGGTTCAGTCAATGATTAACTGGCACATATTTATTGGACATTGGTACTTCAATTTACATAACAATGATAAGACGCACAGATTATTTACTATAGACAGAATATCGGTAAACTGACAGAAAATTTCATTGAATTGACATTTCGAAAGACTTTTTCAGCGACCAAATCAAAATAAAAGGACAATAAAGATCAACAACAATGTTAATTTAGCTACGAGCAAAGAAAGACCTGGCACAAACATACATCATTCCAAGTCATCACATTACATCAGTATACCATGAGATGATACTGACAGAAGAATAGAGAAGGAGTCGGAATTAAAGTAATATGAAAGATATTAAGGAAGATTAAAAACAGAGAATATGGTCCACCAAAACAAAATGAGCTTAAAGATTAAAAGTATATCATATTACTGGAAATTAAAACCTTGTGGAAAACAAATGAATGCATTTGATTCAACGAAAATAACTTTGAGTCATGTCACTCAACATCTACAACAAGTGGTTATGATAATCACACGGACTCCAACAAAGAATTTTACACTTATCAACATGATCTTGACGAGCCCTGATTAAACGCTGGATGATCGGAGGAACAGGTATTTCAAAAACTATATTGGTTAAGCTGATTCCTCTGTGGTTGCTACAAAAAGATTTTTGCACTTTCTAATAAACTGGGACGATTAGCGATCAACCCCAATCAAATGGAGTTACGTCCAGTTCCCAAATTCTAAACAATATCTAATAGCTGAAACCGGACCATTATCGTTAAAGATCTCCTACAATAAACCGTCTTGAACTGATGCTCTACAGACTTAAATTAGCTACTGTCTTTGCAATCTCACTAAGAGTTGGTGAAACTGTATCAATTCGCCACTTAGTTTGAAGATAATAACTGAAAAGTAGCTATAGGTTAGTTAAACTTTTGCTTAGAATGTTCTACTCATCAATCTGATCTCCTGGATTAAGTGAATAATAGTCCAATCTTCACAAGGGATAGTCTCACTAACAGATTAAATTTTAATACATGTTTCCTTGATCAACTTGAATAGTTGTCTACCGTTACTTATCGCTGCTATCTTTTCTATCTCCTCTGTTTTCGCAGTTCACTACTGCTCACGATCACTGCATAGACTACTGTCAGTATACATTTAAGATGCTTTTACTTCATACCATTATCTGAACCTGATGGGAAACGTTTCCCGGCAACTATCAATCCAGTGAATGACATCGAAATATACTGATGTTTCTTAATCTTTTGGTTTCAGTCACTAGTAGCTACCACCATTGTCTTCAAAACTATCTGGATATTACGCCAACCTAAGTCGGGGATACACGACTAACAATTTCTCTAGTTGTTCTTGAAATATAGTTTTGACATTTTAGTCGTTAAACTGAACTTTAAGGAAATCTCATTGCTGTAGCTCTTCTGCATCCAGTAAGACACATAAAAGCGCTTGCTCATACTATAGAATAATCAGAGTCTAAGCACATGCTTCGGAATGAATGGCAGTCTTCTATCGCGCCTCTCAAACGATGGATGACGGAGATACGATTTATTTGCATTCGTCGTTCAGTTAATTGTAAGGCTCGCCATATGTTTAAAGTTGGTGTCTGCTAGAAATAACATTCAGCTAAACCCAGCTGCAATAAAAAGTCACTGATTTCTGTCCGCTGAGCTGGGATTTCGTAAGACTTAAGCAAGTGACTTGCACTCAGATTCGGGCTACCCACTTTGGCATCAAGATCGCCTGCTACCACCACTACATCTAAGCATTTAGTCTTTTGAAGGAGGGTGAAAAGCTCGCTAGAATATTTCTCTTTCACTTCGCTCGAGTTGAAGTCAGTTGGAGAGTAGTCAGAGACGACGAAGAGGAGTCGATATTTTTTCCCAGCGTTCTTAGTTATTACTGGCTTCCCTAGATGGATCATGGATAGGCGACTATCTACAGAAATCCAGTCTATGAGAATCTGTCCTGCTTTTCAGCTTGATGAAATAATCACACAAGCGAGGCCATGAGAAGTAGCAGTCAAGCCAACAGACACAATGAGGGTATATTGCGTTGGCTCCCTATACTGGCTAGGTCAGTTTAAGTGGATAACCATACTTGGATCATGTATGCACATTTCAAAAACGCAGCATACATTGATGGTACTAGATCCTTGAGTCATAACTAAGGAAGCCCATTGTCTGATTAGACATAAGGTTCGGACATTGAAAGCACCAGCATGTAATTCAGAGCACTGTTTCAAGACACTGGGAATAACGGTTCGTGAACTTGAGTCGTTAGAGTTGGTAGGGTGTAGTTGTATAATCATAGGAGAAGGGTTGATCGCGGCGACATAGGAAATACTTAAAAGTAAAGGTGAGGTTTGTTCATGAAAAAAGTGACTTTGAATGCTGTTAGAAGTATGCTAGTAGTTGTCGCTTCCCGGTTGCTCACATCATGAAGAGATACCTCTTGAGCAACCTGTAAACAGAACTGGATATTTAGTGCTATCGCTTGTCAGGAAGCATAACCTCAAAGCCAACAAGACAACCTCTTGAGCTCTGCCATATGCGGCCTATTCGCATGGATTTTTCTGATGTACTAGCTCCTTTCCTTCAGGGTTTCACAGACATTCACAGAAATGTGTGATGGTGTAATGCGTTATTTTTGGAGTAAACCTAATTTAACTTTCTCCTTCGATTGTGAGGTGGTGTCTCTGCAGAAACTGGTTGCCCGAGGGAAATACATTTTTACCCTCATACACCACTACAGTCAGCAGTATGACTTCACCCTCGAGCATTAAGTTGCTTCTTTTAGTCTTACCGTCTTACCGATGTTAGGATCTACAGGAATAAGCATTTCAGCTAACATAGGTCGATTGGTTCATCATGATGGGAAAGCCCGACCACCACATCGGGGTGACAGCTACGGTCAGGAGTACTGCTACCACTACTAGTAGTAACAATAATAGGAAGAACGAGAAGAAACTAGAGAGTAAACGACGAAAGAAAGTAAAACTAGAGAAAACCATGCATGGAATAAGATATTTAGCTATCATGATAAGTTATGGAATATATCTACTGGACATTTCTAACTACCGATTTCTCTTATTTTATAGATTTTAAATTACCTTTCTACTCCAGCCAGATCAAGTTAGTTTCATTTTGGTTGAACCAGTCAGTGGCTTTCCCACATCACTTAGTTTTGTTGGTGTTGTATTCTTGTCAACTAGATGAAGTTACCTGAAACCCTAGGTTGGATCTCAATAATGCACACTTTAAATTTTAACCCTACATGACTGGATCTTCAAATGCATCGCTCCTTACAAAAATATAGCCTTTTTATTTCACCTGCATTTAGCAAATAAACTTAGTATTTGTATGTTGGAACCGCTCCAACAGAGTATTCCATTATAAGACAAACTATAAGTGAAATAAGTTAGTGGATGGTTATCAAAACTATATTACTCATGACAAGATTTTAATTAATACTAAATTGTCGAGAGCAATGCAAATATATATTTCAGTTAATTAGTTCAACCAACCTAAGTGTGAATGAGGACCATTTCTGAAAAACAAACTTATATTTAAATGAAGACGTATTCAGAATACGAACAGGTATGGCTCACATTGTTTGGTAGATTAAGTTTTGCTAACACCTCAATAGGATAGTGTTGTCTACGTAACTGAATTCAATCGAGATTTTTTCGATGGAAATCAGCCACTGAGTAGTCTATAGCAGTCATCACCAAGACATAGTTAATGATGAGGACGACTATAAAAATTGTAAGAATAAACACCACTGACTAACTAAATTATTGTGACAGATATTGAACATGAAGCTTTAGGGTAAGTGGGTTAAGCTGAACCAGTAAAAAGAATTGATTGAAACCACTATTAATTAAATTACTATATACATAATTTTTTTCAGTTAAACCGGACTACACTAAGCAAAGGTCAATATTAATACATAACTATCTAAACTAAAGGCACCTAAAGAAAAATGAAATTTGCAATTAAACAAACTCGAATAGTGTTTACAACACTGAACTATAACTCCCCAAACGTAATTACTAAGAACATCAGCTAATAGTCTGTAATAATCCCTTCAATCATTAATCTTATATCTACTATCAGACAGCTAAGAAGTGAAAACGACAACAAAAGACGACTGCCAAAATATGTGTAATAGGAATCTGCAACATTCTGTAACTCGCCCTTACAAAGAAATCTAACATCAAGAACATCAAAAAGTTATAACTCTTTATCTGACTAATCATAGATGAAAAAGTAGCATATTTTAATGAATAACGTATATATCTTCAGAGTTTGTTGTGCAAGCCAGCATCCTGTTCTTTAGTCATTTACTTTTTTGTATTCATTAGCCTTTAATAAGTTCGGTAGATGGTTTATATTTTAGCCACTGATAGTACATTAGTGTTTATTGCGTTTGGATAGAGTAAGTAATACAGTAAATGTATTTAGGTGAACGTACTTGTGAGTTATGGTGATTATAATCATCATTTATATACGATATCATATCGACAGGTAAAAAGCATGATCTCAAATTGTAGATGCCAAGTTGCTTAGATAATTTCAAGCGAAACAACAAGCACAATGTCTGGAGAATATAGAAAATTTGTCTTATTTCAATCACAATTAATATTAGGATCAACCAACATAAAATGGCATGTCGTAACAGTTAAAAATAAAAACCAAAAAAAAAATAATAATAACACGTTATGAATGATGAAATCATAAGGTAAGAAGAAATAAGTATCCCCATCGAAGTTTGAAAAACACATGAATATTTGTTTTGGATTGAGTTTCATCTGTTTTTAATATCAAGTTAAAAATACGTTCCTTCTTGCAAGAATTCCAAGCGGACTTCGATATTTACCTAAATGTTAAGGAATCATATTTATAGCATGTTATGGCACTTCATGTTGTTGTTAATCTATGCCATTTTAGATGTAATTCATATTCTCTGTTAAAAAATTGAAGAACTAGCGATTTTTCAAAGCAACATCCAAAATAGCTTGATTATTCCAGGGATAGAATCGCACTGACTAAACAAACCATTCAATCTAGAACGGTGGTTCAATGGCTAAAACATTCGGTTTTTCGCCCCCATATTGCAGGCTCGAATCCACCTTGACCTACTTCTGTTTCGGCAACCTGACGGTATCACTAACCCCCACACTTATAGTGCACCTAGTAGCAAAATAAACTGATCTTTATATTGCGAATGAGATAAATAGAAAATCTGTGTAGATCTTTATATCTAACATTAGAATTTCATATTGGCTGGCCCTCCCAATTTACAGCCTTGGAAATTTTAGCAGTAAAAGTCTGCAGACGAGTTGAGAGATCCCGCTCTCCTTATCGAAATGCTCTTACATGAGCAGGCATGTACAGCCACTGCCAGGTGAAGTTCTAACCATTGAAAGTTTACAGACTTTAGTCACTAAATATCTTGCCAAAGAGAAACATGAAAATATAGGGTTTTATTACGACTTATAGTGAAAAGGAAAATCTCAGAGATCATATTTTGATAGTTTAGACACTATGAGTAGTACGCTATACATGTTGGACCAAAATCGTTTAGGTGGGGTCAGACTGAGATAAAATCACAGGAAACACTAAACTATGATAACCATTTCTTTAGAAATAATGAAGTTAGATATTTGGCAGATAACAGAATGTTATCAAATGACAACAATATAACCAGAAACTACAGGTTTACATGCTAGATTGAGTTGCACATTTACAAAAATATATTCTGTACAGTTGTCATATAGAACCAGAAATCCATAAGCAAAATTTAAATCACTAAGCTAGTGGTCGAAATGTACTCCAGTTCAGATACCTGAACAGTAATCAAACCACGACTGTAGCTAATAGAAACACACATTTTATTACAAAGAACTCCATTTTAACTTGACAAATCGAAGAGAGAAATAACCAAAAATTTGGTGTTTAGTATGGAAAATAGCAAAATAAAACGCGTATAAAAGATCTAGAAAACATACCTACTTAAGATCAGGCCCTTAGCTTATTATATGCACTGGATAACCCCGTCCTTCACATCTAAAAAATTGTAGCGAAATTTTCCAAATAAGTTATGCATTTTCGAAACACAAAGTATGATAATAGTATATAAAATTATGTTAATTTGACATAATCGCCTACGTATCACCCAGAGCTTAAAAGGCCAGTATTTCATTATTGAACTGCACCAAATTAAACCGATCCCAGTGAAAAATTACACCATCCAAACTTATGGTAAAACTGATTTCACCAATAATAAGATTCGTTTAGAAAATAATTAATAAGACTGATATTGTTATATAAATTTCTACTTATTTCCCGTAAAATTCGAAAACTCTCTGAAGTGAGAAAGGTAGATGTATTACTCCGCAGTTGGTGGAGACTTGAACGCTCTTACATCAATTACATCTGACTAATAAATGCTGCTCAAACCGCGATGGTACATCCACGTTCGTTTCAACCCTAATATGAAAAAAGTAGAATGGGTCGTCTACAATTAATTTTTATTAACATAAAGATGGTGTGCAACTGATGTTACCATTATATGTACCCATCGGTTTCTCATCATTTAAACTTCTCTCATTGATTTGATCAGATCAGATGAACAACACATGGAATTGTAGCAAAATGGATTGACACGTATTTCTTTACAATTTACATACTGTATGATTGGTTATGTCAACAACAAATCTTGGACATCAGTTGTATCAAGAAAATCAAGAAGAGTAACAGTAAGTGACTACTTAGTAACTGGATCGATAATGATTAATACAGATCAACTTGAGATGAATAAAGCTGACAGCTTCATCATTAACCATACATGCAACAAACCAAGTTTGAACCAATCCAACTAATAAATAACACTGAAATTAGCAATTACACGACACTCCTCAAACTTACCGTGATTCGAAACCAACCAGATTAAACGACAGATATCTTAATTATGACTAAATATTGCCATAAAACGAACGTACTCATTTGTAAAATAAACACATTTTAAAATGACTGTAGAGCCCACTATGGATAGTGCGACCGAGTGACTAGACTATCCAAATTGGAGGATAACAGATCTGAAATTGATTGTTAACACCAAAGAGCAAGTGCAGAGAGATCATCTAGTTTGTACTCCATCAATACAAAAATATAATCCAATTCCGGAACTCCGAAATTTTTCATGCAAAGAGCGGCTTGAAAAACTGGAGCTCTTTACTCTGTCCTATTGCAGACTAAGGGGAGATCTAATTTTGATGTACAGAATACTGAGAAATGATTTCGGACCTAACTAATTCTCTCTTTCTTCCCACTAGATCGGGACACCTCAGAGGACATAGCAGGCGAGTAGAGAAGCCAAGAACGAACAAAATACCCGTGGCATACAGGTTTTCACACCGAGTCATCAATACTTGGAACCTGCTGCCTGAAGCAGTGGTGTCCGCACCTTCAATTGACGCTTTCAAGAGAAGACTGGACACTCAAAGAAGCATACTAGAAAAGAAATAACATAGGCCGTAGGCCTTCTATCCTTACTACACAAATCTGAAATTTGAATATGATCACCCAATTTTCGGGTTTTCCCTAAAGTCATATGAAAATCCTACGATTACTCACGTTTGATGAAGAACTTACGATATAGATGTTGGGCACTTCACAACATCCCTTACCTAGTTCTCTTTAGTTTACACGACGGTCAGTACTTGTGAAACCACAATTTTACGTCAAAACAGTAGAAAATGTAGCAGAATATCAATTGACCTTCAGGATATGTACTTAGAAATCCCGAATCCTATTGGTCAGGCTAAATAACCCGCTTTTAACCGTTTGACAGAAAAAATATAAACCAACTTTTGGGAAATGCTACAACCTTAAAGCTCCGAACAAAAGTATACATATCCTCTGTGCATCTAATAAATAGAATTCACATTTTTGTGTTTGATGCTGTTTCAAATAAAGTCTTATTTACACATAGTTATTCGGATGTGTGTGACAGTAGCTGACACATTTGACAAATTTTCAAAATTGCTCACAGATGTGAACTGTTCTATTCCACGATCTGAATAAGAACCTACTACAACTACCGATCCATGCTTTCCACATACAAAACTATGTGTAACTACCAGAAATAAAGTCCTATATCGTCAAATCAACATCATTCGGGATCGTTAAGCCACAATATTCATTGATTGCTCCCGCCCTAGACAAGCATAGCCAAGTGCCAAAGTGCCCCTGCTGTAAATAAATCCGTAAAATGAAGGCATTCTTGTCTCAGTACAAACTCGAATCATAGGTTATCAACACTCCTAGATCTTTTTCAACTTCAGATACTCATAGAAAGGAATAACCAAAGCTATATGCATAGTCTACGACATGTCTCAGGTAGACCACTTTACACATTGAAGTGTCGAAGATAAGTTCATTGTCATCTGTCTGACCTGACTTCGAAGTCAAGTCGGAATCTCCGGAAGCGCGAGCGTATCATCTCGGTCTCAAAATTCTCTCCAAAGTTTCACGTTGTCAGCAAAAAGTAGTGAATCAGACGACACTTGCTGGTGAAGGTCATGTATAAACTAAGAAAGGAAGAGGTTCTAGTATCGAACCCTGATTGATCTCACCAGGAGAAAAGGTGAAGTTTACCCTGTCCCCAAAAAGTTGATTACTTGGTTAAGAAATAAACAAACCAACCAACGGTGGCTGGATACCTGACCGTTTGAGCTTACTGGTGAGACATATATGGTTAAACTAATAGAAAGCTTTTGAAAAGTCAAGGTATATGGCACCAGCCTCCCCCTTGCGATCAAAGATAATTAACTTCTGAGTCCTGTTGAGATGGGGGTGAAGCTGTTGTCGATGTAGTTCGCATGGAACGGTTAAAATGTCTGAAAGTAATTTTCCTCCAAGAGATCGGTGGCATCACCATTGTTGTTGGTTGAGCAATCAGTAAGATATCTCAATAATCGTCCATCTCAAGTTGAGGCCGGAATTCCCAGTCTACCTAATGTCGACTGTCCCGTAAAGCTGACACATCAAACCGTTTGAAATTCCAACGTCTGTTGCTGGTAAGATGTTTTAACTCAGTTTTGCTGACGAAATTGAAGGCAATGACGGAGTGATCACTTTTTCCAAAACGAGCCAGGGTTGTCGATTACGTTTTCCTCGTTTGTAAATACGCAGTCTAAGAGTGACGACATATGGCTATTTTTTCGTCGTGTCGCCAACTCCACACTTTCGAATAATTTCAAGTTATGAATTAAGTTAGAGACACGAGCTTCGGTAGAGTTGCAACCTCCAATGTACGTATTCTCAGTGAAGCCAAATTTAGGGAGATTGAAGTCTCCTAGAATCAGGATATGAGTGTATTGGAGACGAGTAGAAAGATCAGTGTAGGACATTTTGTCGATTCTGGGACTGGTTGGATAAAGCGGAAACGTGGTCAGTATATGACATTTTTTCGTGGTATGAAAGAAAGCTGTACAGGATTGGCTTCCGTTAGTCTATCACAATCCCTAGTTGGGTTTCTAGAGATA